CATTGGCAGCATTCAATCAAAATTTTCCTTGACACCCAGAATTACCTCAGTTTAGCTGACTACAAGATTTCCTTTGAGGGCAGCACTTAGATGATTTGTAGGGCAAATATTTCTGTAGTACCTTATGTTGCTGCATAATTTATATGTGTACGTCAAAAATGAGACAAATAGATCTTGAAAAATTCACATACTTCAAAAAAATGGTATTTAAAATGCCCCTGCTAAGATGAGGTGTATGTACAGCACACCAAACAGTAGTGTCACTTGCTGTCTTATTTTTTAATTCCAGTTCAAGTAGTTTTCTCTCTTTGAGCCCATGCATGTATATGCAGTACTGTCCCGTGAGCAGATTATTAAACCATATAGTTTTGTTATTCACAGAAGACTCTGCTTCCAAAAAGAGGTAACTGTAGGAATTATATCATTTCAAGCCAAATCTTGCATCCAAGCCAATCATGCGAGAACACAGGATTGGATCCTACAGTATAGGCCTTGTTGACACAACAAAAGCCTTTATCTTTGGAATTATATCAGCCTGGCCACGTCCAAACATGCAAGCATATGTACATGCAATGGCTCAAATAGTAGCAGTACAAATTTGTGCTGCTACTTTATGCTGCAGCTCACGCTCCTGCCTATGTGTTTTATTGTGGGACACATTGTCCTGCTTTGGGCAAACTGCCCTTGCCCAGCTCCTCCTGGCTCCTAACATGCTGGAGCAGCAGGGGCACAGACTGAGTGGTAGCGACATCCTGGCCAGCAGCCAGAGCATCTCATTGGAGGACCAAACTTCTGTTTGTTCTGGTGCATGCTATGTTCCCTTCCTCTGTGCCACTTTTTTCCTGGTAACAAAATTTGCCCCTGTGCTGCAAATTGCAGTGTGGGGCGCGTTTTAACATTCCATGGTGTGGTTTGTGGCACCACAAAGAGGTTTGTGATGCCACAAACCACATGTGCCTGCATCTCTGAACTTGGCCTCTAAGTGTATTAGCAGAATCCCGTTGTGGAGGTACAGTGTATGTGCTGGCAGAGCTATACCCCATCCCAAAACAATAAAAATGAGGCCAATAAAAGCATTCTTTCATCAGCGTACCCACAGGTTTTGTTAAAATAGCTACATTGACTCCTAGCCCACATAGCTTTTAGAGCAGAACTTTGCAGTGTAGACTTCTCTTAAGTGGCTGCCTTGGCCATTAGCAGGTACATGGCTATTCTATGAATGAATGCAACTAATTGGAGGGTTGAGCAATCCTCTCCTGCAGCATGGAAAATAGTGCATCCCACATATTTCTAAAGTCTAATATCCATAAACAATTATATGGTAGCAAGCAGTATAAAAAAAAAACAAAAAAAAACTAGCCTATACTTAAAAGAGTCACTCACTGCCATTATTTTTAACACACTGACAGTGTTTATTTTATAGTAGGTAGAGCCTGCATGAAAAAATGAGTTTTTAAATGGGGGGGGGGGGGTTCAGTACATTATATTTATTAAAATATCTTGAGTATTACCCAGCACTGCTCTTAAGGTCTGGGTGTTCTAGACTGCCCTACTGGATTATGGGATGTCATAAAGTGTGGCCATGTAACAAAGAGTGATGGTTTATGAATAACAGAGCACAAACATGAGATATTTACTGCTGTTACCTAATTAGCTTTGCAGTAAACATCTCAACTTCTACATATTAGGCTCTATTAGGCTGAAGGAAAAAAATACATTCTGCAGCAGGTTAGTACTTGTAAATTCAATTACTATCCCATGGAACAGTTTTTTTGTGCCCAGCAACGCATATGTAGACACTGACCTGGCAGGCTGGAACATAAGGGTGCTTCAATGTGGTGGCTGCCTGATGGTTAGGCCCATACTGGAGCATCCTTGTGCCCCAGCCAGCCCCTCTGCAGCACACTGAGCGAGATTGAAGCAGCCCCAGGCTGACCCTCAGAGCCCTGCCAGCTGGAGTTCTCTGACCCGGCTCAATGTGCTGCATTCCCGGGCGTACATTCAAACCATGCACCCAGGAGCAATAAAATCCAGGGCAACATGCACCAAAGTTTAGTGATTTGAATTAATTGCACATGTAGATGTGCCCACATAGTACAAAAAAAAATCAGGGCTAAGTTATGCTAGGCAAATATCCAACCACAATAGTATCAAGTCTGTGTAGAAATGTGTGTATTATATGGCCCCTTATCGAAACAATAATTCTTGATCGAGCAAAAATCTCATTTAACTGAACGGGAATTTGTGGTGAGAAAAAAATGAATTGGACACTGTTGCAAATAGTTCCAAGGGTTGAAAATATACCAGAAATGGGTGCATTGTAGGGCGCTGCTCCTGTGCTGACAGGATGGGGTGTTAGAAGAAGCATCAGGCCAGCTCTTTACTATTAAGAAACTTTGGGGAAAGAATAATCCTCCTAGCACCAATGTTATGTCTGTTGTTAAATGCACCACTACCAAGGTGCAAAGTAAACACTGTACCCAAGAAACTGGTAAAGTCATGTGGAAATAGGGAAATTTAAGGATAAAAATCCTGAAACTTAAAGTTCACTAAATGGTGAAAAAATGCTGTACACATGCAAAAGTTACTTTTTATGGCATTCGTGTATATTTCTGCAGCTATTAACCTAATTACTTTTCCAGGTGCTGTATATTCTTCATTCTTTATTTAGCAAATACATCTTTAATTTCTCTCCAGGTACAAAGGTTTTGCTACCGATTCAACAGCTGCCTTACTGATTGGCCTCCTCTTCTTTATAATTCCTGCAAAAAGAGTGTCAAGGACTTCAAATGGAGAAAACAGTTGAGTATGCTTTACTGGGAGCTTTTCTAAAGTAAGAACTGTAGGATTTGGCCCCATGTGACCATAATTTGGTGTTTGTTAAAGGAATATTGTCAGATATTTAAGCCCAGCAATTACTGTTGATGTTGCTAAATGAAATAAAACTGGATAGGAGGTTAGTGGTGCCTGAAAACTGGTGTAAATAGAAAAAATATGTGCTATTTTTTCAAATGTTTCTTCTGCAGTTCTGGAAGCCTATACACAAAAGCACTGAGCTAGTTTATGAGAACTGGAAAATAATTATTTTATGGAAGGGGAGTGAAACATACAATTTCATTTCAATGAAGCTGAAGTGAAGACTACAATGTAAACATAAAAACAAATATAATATAACTAAATTGGCAGTTAGATGTTAATTTGGTATTTGATTTTTCCTGCATTGGGCACTTCTACATGTGTCACTATGGCAACATTGTTACTGCACTGTGATTTAGTGCTTCCTCTTGGAAGTACTAAATTACGACGCAGTAACAAACCGCACTGCACCGTACATGTGGTGCCCAGTTATTTTTAGCAGATACTTTGCCATAGCGGCACACTATATTGGGGGAGCACGTTGCTATGGCAATGTAGCTGCTGGTCATGGGTAGACACCTGTGGATGCTACATCGCTTTAGCATGTTGCTACGGCGACATAGCATCATATGTAGACATGCCCAGGGTCTACTTTCTTACACAGACTAGTATCTTACCAGGAAATCAGTCCCTTGCACTGATAATCATGGATAATACTTGCAGAGTAAGGACTGATGCCCTATACAGGTAGCAGAAGATGGCTTTACATAGGGATCTGATATTTAAATGGAAAACATCTTTCCATTGGCTTTATAGGGCTTTATGGTGTAAACAGTCATAATTCAGATGACTTTACACTATGACAATTCACCTGAGCTGAGGCTGTGCCCCAAGAAGACAACATGGGTTACAAGAAAAACCTTCTTAATTTTATGATGACAAAGATTTACTTTAAATATTTCCTTTCCCTCCATAGGATAGGTATAAGTTTATCCGAGTATTAGAAATGAGAATTTTATTAAAGGTTGTTATGTTTTTTTTTCCAGCTTTTTTTGATTATGCTCCACTGATTACTTGGAAGGAATTTCAGTCCTGCATGCCATGGGAAATAGCTATTCTTGTTGGTGGAGGGTTTGCACTGGCAGATGGCTGTGAGGTAATGCAATGTATACAATATACTGAAATATTTAAATGATCCGCACCAAGCGCAATACGGATTTATAGGATATTCAAGGGAATTTGAACATTCTATTTGAGCATTCAGGCAATTTTGCTAAGAATGAACCAAACACTGTACATGGTAATGCTGAGGAGATTCAAGATTATTCATGTAAGAGGGTAAAAATTACAGTGGTGCCTCTATTAACAGCCTTAAAAATTGTAAGTCTGCAGAAAAATGTGATTACTAATCAGAATCATGTCTTACTAATCAGAATCATAACATAAGTAACTCCAGTCAATCCACATTTGATGCATCCGAATACATTTTATATTTTCCTACTATTTAAAAGACAAGAAATTAACTATAATTAAAGAATTGTTTAAAAATATAAATATTTCAATAAATAGGGGCACCTGTGCTAACCTGTTCAGAGCTAAGTGAGGTGCTAGAAGAAGTACAGCTGTGTTAGCACGGCATACCATCCAAGCTAATATACACTGTTTCTGAATCGAGGTAGTTAGCCCATGCAGTGTTGCATTTATGTGACTGTATTCTTTCCATAGCACCTAAGCTAGCTAGTCATTACAATCTAATGCTGCCATCCTGCAGCTGTTTGCATGAATGACACCTCCTCATCACCCCATCTGGAGCTCAGCTGTCCAAACATATGAGTAAAATACGCAGCATTTGTTCGTAAAGTTTGTTATGCACAAAAGCTAAAAACATTTGAAGTTATCTCCTTAAGCATCTCCAAAGCATATCCATGACGAGATGTATATTGCAATATAGTTTTCAATTCTCATTATAGTAAAAGAGCACAACATTTTGACACGAGAATGTTCTTCTGATAAATATATGGTGGATCATGAAGAATGTCTTATCTCTGTTTACGTAACTACCTTGCAAATTAACAGTGTGTAATTTGTAGTACTGGACTTACTATTTTGTATTCAATAGGTGCTGTGATATAATTACATAATCCTGTTCCCTATGCAGGATTCAAAACTATCAGTTTGGATTGGAAGTAGATTAACTCCTCTGGGATCATTACCAATGTGGTTAATTATCCTAATTTCATCTTTGATTGTCACTTCAGTGACAGAAGTGGCCAGCAATCCAGCTACCATTACAATATTCTTGCCTATACTAGCACCTCTGGTGAGTACCCTATGTAAGGTCTGCTTTATCCTTACTGTTCTTTGCTCTGTTCAGAAAGAACACAAATATATGAGATTCGTCCAAAGCACTGGTTCTACCAGCTTACCAGTGGAGTGGTAGCACCTACTCAAAGAAGCATCTTATTAAAAAGAAAAAAAAAACGCTGTGAAAATGTTTTAAAATTTTGTTTGTTTGTTTGTTTGTTTGTTTGGGGGTTTTTTGTAATTTATAAATTATAATGGTTTTCTGAATTTTCTGGAAAAAATGTTCCTTCAAAGTTTAGATTTTGAAAAAAAATCTTTTTGACAAAAACGTTATTGAAATATAAATATTAAAAACCAGTTCTTTCTACAAGAGTACAGTAAGACAATGGAGTTGTTTATTATGTAATTATCTCTTCCTCAGTTCTCACTGTATCTGTGTCTCTTCCTCTTCCGTGGAACAAATGCTGGATGGCAGCATAAAACTCTCAACTCCTCCTCTGAAACCTACAACATTAATCTCCCCTTTCCTCTCCATCCTGCCTGCCCCACT